GGGAAGCCTGAGCTCCCATTCCTGCCGATGGCTACTGCCCAGTCACCTTCACCATCCTCCACCAAGACCACTGCACATTCCCTGAACCATCTCCCGGGCTCCAGCTCTCCTCCTGCCAAAGCCGACGGAAAACAGAGCTAGTCACTTCTCTCCACGAGGTTCAACGTTAAAGGCTGGAAGAACAGAGCCCAAACTCCTGACACAGCTTCCCGGGGCTCCACGAACCCGAGCCAGCGTCCCCATGCCTCCTCCTTCCGTTCACACCTGCCCCGACTCCAGCCTTGGACCGAAGTCACCTGCAGGAGCCAGGCTCTTCTGCCTCGTCAGCCCCACCCATCTCTGAACCCCCTGTCTGCTAACCACAGCCTCTACCTCTGCCACAGAGGAGCCCAAAGACAACCAGCTCCTGATCCCTATGAACCGCTCTCAGGCAAGCACACAAAAGCCTTCCTGCTTGGCGTCCGGTGAAAACGTAATACACAGCTCGAGACCCAAGCCCCCAGTTGCTTACAGCTGCGCACGCCAGGGAAGGTCTGGGGCAAACATGGGGACACACCCCAGAAAGGACTCGGCGATTCTGTTTCTAGCAGTTGATCCCACACATCAGTACTCGTGTGCACATGTCATCTGTACACATGTACATGCTTGTTTGTTTTGTGACAGCAAAAGCCAGGGAACTGACCTAGAGATTCGGCAGCCAGGATGCTTAAGTAAAGGATGGCACATGCCACTCAAGGCAGAACAAGGAGACTCTGTATGAACCGACGAAGAACCACCTTCAAATTCGTTGACGCGATCCTCAAACATTAACTGGATTTCAACCACTTCTACACCGTCCACCCCCAGAGACTGGCATCCCTGCTCCCAGCCTGATCCTCCTTTACATCCATTTTCCAAGAGTGGTCAGGTGCTGGTCAAACAGAGCTACTGAAAGGGGAACACTCTTACTCTGTTGGTGGGAATGCAAGCTGGTGCCGCCACTCTGGAAAACAGTATGGAGGTTCCTCAAAAAGTTAAAAACAGAGCTACCCTATGACCCAGCAACTGCACTACTGGGTATTTATCTGACGGACACAATAGTGATTCGAAGGGGCACCTGCACCCCAATGTTTATAGCAACAATGTCCACAATAGCCAAACTATGGAAAAGAGCCCAGATGTCCATCGACAGATGAATGGAGAAAGAAGACGTGATGTACGTATACAATGGAATTATTAGCTAGCTATTAAAAAGAATGAAATTTTACCATTTGCAACAACATGGATGGAACTAGAAGGTATTTTGCTAAGTAAATTAAGTCAATCAGAGAAAGATAATTAACATATAATCTCACTCATATGTGGAATTTAGGAAACAAAACAGAGGATCATGGGAGACGGGAGGGAAAAATAAAATCAGACAAAAGCAGAGAGGGAGACAAATCATAAGAGGCTCTTAACTCCAGGCAACAAACAGGGCTGCTGGAGGGGAGGGGGTGGGGGAGGGGGTAACTGGGGGATGGGCAGGAAGGAGGGCATGTGATGTAATGAGCACTGGGTGTTATATGCAACTGATGAACCACTGACCTCTACCCCTGAAACTAGTAATACACTGTACGTTAACTACATTGAATTTAAATTAAAAATCTGAAAAAAGCAAAACAAAACAAAACAAGCAAAAAAAAACCCCTAGTACAGGTCTGCCCAAAGCCTCCCCGCCCTCCCCACTCACCGCCCCCTCCTGCTCCCAACCTTCCACCTGTCTGACCGCATCCCCTTTCTCCGGCCCACCAGCCTCCCTGCTTTCCTTCCACACCCCAAGAACGGTCCCTATTCAGGACGTCTTTCCTGCTGTGCCGGTGGCGAGGAGACCACCCCCCCACAGCCCCGCACTGCCCTCCCGTCATCTCCTTCCGGCCCTTTATTCACCATCCCTCTCCGGGAGACCCCCTGGACTGTCCTACCTAAAGCACACGAGGGCACGCATGCACACACGCACGGACGTGGTGAGACCCCCCCCTTGACCATCCTGAAACGCACGTACACACCCACAGATGCACGCATGCACGCACACACTCATAAGATGCACGCACACACGCATGGACGTGGCGAGACCCCCTTGACCATCCTAAAACACACATATGCACTCAAGCATACATGCACACACACGCGCACAGGATGCACGCACGCACACATGCACGTACACACGCATAGGATGCACACGCACACGTGCACAGATGCACGCATGCACGTACACATGCATGGACACAGTGAGACGCCCTTTGACCATCTTAAACACGCACACACGCACACACACGTGCACTCGAGCACACATGCACACGCATAGGATGCATGCACGCATGCACGTACACACGCATAGGAGGCATGCATGCACGTATACACGCATAGGATGCACGCACTCACGCAGATGCATGCACGCACGTACACATACATGGACGCGGCGAGACGCCCCTTGACCATCCTAAACTCATGCACACACGCGCACGCACACACAAACGCGCACCCAAGCACGCATGCACACGCGCGCACAGGTGCAATAACACGATGGGCACGTGGGTGCTCTCTGTGGAAATCCTTCCACTTTGTGTCTGAAAATTCTCATCAAATGTTGAAAAAACGCCCCCACACCCCTATTCCCCCGCCGTCCCCGCCGTGCACTCGGCGCCCACTCACACACTGTGCCCGTGTGCTGTCTGCACCCCACGCAGCACCTGGACCCTCAGCCCCACAAGGGGGTGGATTTCTGCGTTCTGTGCACTGCCCTACGTCCAGCTGATGAAACTGCCCTATTGCTATAGTAACATCAAACCCTAGTCTCGACGTTGTGCCCTAACCATGCAGACAACCGCGAGGGGAAATTATGGCCGCCCCCGCACCCTCTGTGCTCTCTCCAGAACCTCCTGTGATCTGGAAGTACTTCCAAAATACGTATTAAGGAGAAAGCAGTGCCTACTACACGACCGGTACTCAGTGTTTGATAAATGAGCAGATCCCGTGACTCGGTGAAATGGCTTTATCCTCAGTGATAACGAAGCACCCTCTGTGGGAATGCTGAAGGGAAGGCCGTACATGTCTGCGTGTGCGCGCATGCACCGGGCCCCGCGCGTGCACCCATCCCCACACGCACACCCGTCCCAGAGCGCTCACACCAGTACCCACCCATGCACCTGTCCCAGAGCGCACACCTGTCCCCGCGTGCACATCCCTGTCGCCTCACATGCACCCATCCCAGAGTGCACACCTGCCTCGTGCTCACACCCAGCCCCACGGGCACACCCCCAGCCCCAGGCTTCCACCTGTCCCTGCATGCACATCCCCGTCCCCGCACGCACACATCCGCCCCCACGGGCCGCTCCAGGCTGCATTCTGGGGGACTATGGCGGACAAACAGGGACGAGGTCTTGCAGCCAACCTCTGGTTCCTGCTGAGTGCTGAACCACCTGAACGTATTATCTACGCAAAACACAATTTGATCACAAAATTTCTGTCCCAGCCTCTTCCTCGGGGTCAATGTCAACTTTATCCACGTACACTTTCCAGAATTCAGGTGCTTCCCATTTTTGAAAAATCACTATTGTAGGATTCCTACACTTCTGTCCCTCAGCGGTCCTTAAGCTGCAAGTGGCCCTCTGCCCCTGATACACCTCTTGAACTTGAATCAAAATAAAAAGTAAACAAGACATTTCAAGAAGCAAGGAAATTTGAGTATCAGTCTATATGCACTATTACTGAATTACTTTTCTCAGGTTTGATGGTGGTATCCTGATTACATAAAAAAAGTCCTTAATCTCAGGAGATGATATTGAAGAATTCAGAGAAAAAGGGCAGGTCTGCAACTGACTTTTACACGATCCCACGAAGAAAAGAAACATGTACAGATGTGAATGGGCTGATTATGGGCAGAGATGCACGGGCGCATACAAACGCACACGTCTGTACATGACACAGCCACATGGACATGAACACCAACACGGGAGAACGTTTGCAACCGGTGAGCCTACGTGCAGGTCACACTCCTCTTCCAGCCTTTCTGCAGGGGTGGGGTTTCTCAAGATACCAAGTTGGGGGGAAATTTGTTTAAACCCAAGTAAGTTGCCAAAAATGGGCTCCAATGTCACTGAAGGAGCCCATCAGGATACACGCTCCCCTTTCTGCAGTTCCAAGGCATTCGACTCATGTTCACGCCGCAGCAGGCGCATGTCCTACCCGCTCCCGCGCACACGAGGGGCCCAAGGCCGAGGGTCAGTGTGTTTACGGGGACCAGACGCTGGCTGCGACGCGGCCACGGCTCCACGCGGAGGAGAGCGCCGGCGAGCTTCTCAAACTCCCGCAGGGGGAGGATACGGTCACTGGAAGGCCCAGCCCCGACACTGGGCTCACACTTCACGGGGTCAAGGACCAGACTCCTCCGTACCTTTCCTGTTTCTCTACATCCCATCCCGAGCAGCCTGCGCTTTCGGGCCGAGGGAGACTCGTGTGTGTGTGTGTGTGGCACGTGTGGTATGTGTCTGGTGTGTGTCTGGTGTGTGTCTGGCGTGTGTGGTGTGTGTCTGGCGTGTCTGGCGTGTGTGGTGTGTTTGCTGTGTGTCTGGTGTGTGTCTGGCTTGTGTGGTATGTGTGTCTGCTGTGTCTTGGTGTGTCTGCTGTGTGTGTCTGGTGTGTGGAGTGTGGTGTGTGTCTGGCGTGTGTGGTGTGTGTGTGTCCGTCCGTGTCCGTCCACCTTCACTCGCAGGGACACGCCGTGCTGACCCCCCCACGTTCCCACGGCTGGACCCGGACAAGCAGCGCCGCGCCCTCGCTCGCGGTCGTAACCGCCGGGGAGCCCGGCGTGCGGCACACCGGGAGCGCAGAGGGCGAACAGTGGGAACGCCCGGCCCCGCCGGCTGCCGGGGAGGAACCCGGGGGGCGGCGGGGCAGCACGGACAGCCCGTGCGGAGCGCTCCGGGTGCCTCGGAGAGCCCGGCCGGGGACGCGGTGCTGCAATAGGCGGGAGCGGCAGGTGATATCCCAGAACGTAAGTTTATTGGAAACCAGGTGGGCGGGCGCGAGCAGGAGCGCACTAGGAATCAGGCTCCGGGGCCGGCGGTGGCTTCTCGTCATCAGGGGGACAGTCGATGAAGTCAGCCAGCATGGCGGCCGTGTCGTCCTGCTCCTTCGGGGACAAAGAAAAGTGGAAAATGACACACACACGCACACACGGGCCGGGCTAGGGACGGACACACACGCGCGCACGCACACACACGGGCCGGACACACACACACACACGCACACACGGGCCGGGCTAGGGACGGACACACGCACACGCACACGCACGCACACACGCACACACGGGCCGGGCTAGGGACGGACACACGCACACACACGCACACACACACGCACACACGGGCCGGGCTAGGGACGGACACGGCGGCCAGGGCGCGCCCCCCCCCCCCCACCCGGGGCTGCGCCCCCCGCCCGCCCACCTTCTCCTGGAGGGCTGCCGTCTCGGCCTCCGCCTCGGCCGCCGCCTCCTCTGCGGCGGGTGTCTCGGGGGGGGGCGGCGGCACCCCGTCACCCCCACTGTCAGTCCCCTCCTCCAGCAGCGTCGGGGGAGCCGAGGGCGGCTCCTCCACAAGCTCCGGCGGCGGCGGCCCGGCCGGGGGGCTCCCGGCGGCCTGCGGCCCCTCCCCCTGCGAGGGCAGCACCTCAGGGGCCAGCGTGGGGGCGGCGCGGGCGCCCGGCCCCTCCCCCCCGTCCTCCTCCTCCTCCTCCTCCTCCTCGTCGTCGTCCTCGTCGTCCTCGTCGTCGTCGTCGTCCTCGTCGGCCGCCGGCTCCTCCACCTCCAGCAGCAGCCCGGGCTCGGCCTCGGGCGCCGGCCGCACCCCCGGGGACGAGGCAGGGGGCGGAGCCGGGGCGGGGCTTGGCGGCGCAGGGCCCCCCGCTTCCGCCGGCCCCCCCGCCGGGCCGAAGTCGGCCTCGTCCAGCTCCTCCAGCTCGTCGTCGTCGTCCTCGTCGTCCTCGTCGTCGTCCTCCAGCTCCCCCTCCTCCTCCTCCTCCTCGAACTCCTCCTCGAACTCCTCCTCCTCCTCCTCCTCAAAGTACTCCTCCTCCTCCTCCTCCTCCTCAAAGTCCTCTTCCTCCTCCTCCTCCTCCTCCTCCTCCTCGTCGCTGCTGTTGATGTTAATGACCGTCAGGTCTTCCTCCAGGGAGGGGGGCCCCCCGCCCCCAGGAGTCCCTTCAGGGACCAGCTGGGGGGGCGGCAGCGCCACGGGGCCCGGCGCGGGCGGGGGCGGCGGGGGCGGGAGAGGCCCCGGGGCCGCGGGAAGCTCCTCGGGCTCCTCCTTAGCGGGCACAGGAGGGGAGGCCGCGGGGGGCCCGGCTGGAGCCGCTGGCGGGGGTGTGGCGCCCGAGGGGGGCGCGGGCGGCAGCGGCGGCAGCCCCTCGGGCACGATCACCACGCTGTCGTCTGAGTCGCTTTCCAAGGAGATCTCCACGTCGGACGCCTCCTCCTTATCGTAGTGGACGAAGGCCGGCCTGGGCACTCTGCCCCCAAAAGTCTCATCCGGGGGCAGAGCGGGCGGAGGGCTGCCGCCCGGGGCGAGCACGGGATCCTCATTTGAGCCGGCCCGGTGGTTCTCAGGGCCGGGGAGGAGCCGGGGGGGTACGGACACCAGGCCCGGGACAGACAAGCCTAAGTGGTTGGCTGCGGCTGGAGGTCCGGGCCGCGCCGGGGGCGGAGGGCCCGCCGGGGGATGGAAGGGGGGAGCCCTGAACGGAGACGGGGCCTCAGGAGGGGGGACGGGGGCAGGCGTGGGGCAGGTGGGGCCGGTGGGCTGCAGGGGAGGAACCCGGGGGTGGGTCAGGGCAGCACAGACCACCAGCGCTTCCGAGCAGAAGGACGACACCTGGGGAAGAGGCGAAGGGTGGCCATGAGCCTCAGGCGCCGGGGCGGGGGGGGGGGGGGGCCCGGCTCCCCCCGAGGGGGGGGCGCGGCCCCAGGGGGCAGCTACCTCGAGGCTGTCCTCGCGCTGGCCGAGGGAGAAGGCCTGCAGGGCGCAGGCGAGCGGGGGCGGGCAGCGGGGGGACGGCGCCAGCAGCAGGGCCAGCAGCAGGCGGTACAGCTCCTGGCGGCAACGGGAGCTGGTGTACGGGGAGCTGCCCAGGGTCTCGCCCCGCTGCAGCCCCATGACCAGGGGCACGACCAGGTCGTGCAGTCTCTGCAAAGAACAGGGGGCACACTTGGAGGCAGCGCGAGGACCCCCGCCCCTCCTGCAGGGCCGGCCCCCCCCTCCCCCAGGGCTGAACGCCCCCGCTCTGGGGGCGGCCCCCATGCAGAGCTCCACTGACCCTGTGAGTCTCCTCCTTGATGAGAGGCCCGCACATGAGGACTGTCCGGCTGAGGCCTGCGGGAGGAGGCGGCGTCTCAGGGGCGTGCTGGCGGCAGCAGGGAGCACGCAGCCCACGCGGGGCGTCCGCCGCCACCTCCAGGCTCCTGCAGCCCGGCCGCGTGCGACGAGTGAGGAGACGCGCTGCCCACGTGCGCCCACGGATCCGGGGACGGAAGCACGCGAGCCCCGAGGGGGAGGCCCCGAGCGCCTCGTGGGGAGAGTGGAAGCCCCACGGCGCAGGCCCCCGCGGGAGCCGCAAGGGAACACGGCACGCAGAGCCGCAGGCGGAGCTGAACGGGAGCCTGCAGGGCTAGCGGGAGGGCCCGGAGCCCCATCTGGGGCGGGGCCCCTACCCGTGCCCCCCGCCCCCGGCCGCCCGGGCTGCAGGGTGCGGCCCCTCCCACCTCTCCCACCTCTCCCACCTCTCAGCGCGGCCGCGCACACGTCACTGTTGGCGTTGCTGTCCCCCTTCCGGTGGCTGGGCGGGGCCATGGCCTCCCCCAGATCCAGCTTCAGCTTCTTGGGAGCGCTGGGCTTCCCGGTCTGCAGCCCCCCGTCCGGGCTCCCCCGCGGGCTGCGCAGCTAGGGGAGGGGGGAGACCTGGGTCACCGGGGCCCGGCCGGCACAGAGGCGGACGGCAGCGGGAGACAGCGTCTGGTGAGCAGGCTCGCTCCAGCAGGGGCGCAGACGAGAGTCCCCCGCCAGGGGCAGGCGCCCCACTCACCTTCAGAGCATCCGCCGGCGGGGAGATGTCACTGAGCAGGTGGGAGAGCAGGGCCTCCCCCGAGGCGCCCCCCTGCAGCACTCCTGCCGAGGCCCCACACACCTGCACCCACAGCTCCAGCACTGCGTACACCTTGGTCCGCACGGTGCTGCGGGGGAAGGGGGGCAGAGAGCAGCCCGTGAGGGGGGCGCCGCAGGCGGGGTTCTCCCGGGAGCCCCCACCCACCCTCTCCAGTCTGTGCCCTTCCCTCCACGGTCACCTGTAAGGCCTCTCCTGGCCTGGAGAGAGGGTATCCCGACCCAGGTTCCAGGCATTGAGGACCTGGGGAAGCAGGCGGCTGATCAGGCCCCCAAAGCGCAAGAGGCGGCCTCCACACCTGGGGGTGAAGACAGAACAGTGACCTCCGTTCCCGGCACACCCTCGTCCCTTCACTACACCCTGTCCCCTCCCGCTCACGCGAGGATGAGTGCGGAGAGCAGATCCAGGGCGTCCAGGTGGATGGAGGGGAGAAGTAGCAGCCGCAGGGGACCGTCTCCAAGCAAGCTCTGCAGGAAGATACGGCAGGAGTAAGGGGGCAGCAGGGGGAGAAAGGGAAATACGGAGAGAGACCCGTGCACACGCAGGAAGGAACCTGCCTCCATGCCCGGCTGGCCCAACCAGACAGACCCCGTCTCTACAACAGACCCGCGAGAGGGTGACGGGGAGCACGGCTGAACCTCTCAACGGTGCTGCCCCAGCGGAGCCCCGCGTTCACCCTCCCTGGGGGAGGCATCTGCTGGACGGGTTCCGAAGACCGCGAGTGCGCCCCGGCGGGCACGTGTGTGGGGACAAGCACAGGGAGTGGCAGCATCCGGACGAGGGACGGGGCTGGCCGAACAGCCTCGGGGAGGACACTGCTGTGGGAGCACCGCCCCCCCCCCCCCACGCTGCTCTCTCTCCGCCCGGGGCCCGAGGACGGGCTGCAAACAGCCCCAGCTCCACTCACGATGTTCTTCGCGCTGATGCTGAGCGTTCGGCAGATGACGTCCAGGATTTCCTGCACAGGGACGGACACGGGAGCCCCAAACTCAGAGCTAAAGAGGGGGAGAGCAGAGAGATCCTCAGCGCGGGCTCCTCAACGTGACTCCACCCCCCCACCCCCTTCCCGATGAGGACGACACCCCGAGCTCAGCCCCCACCCCCCGTGCCCTTCGGCACTCGCTCGCACACCTGAGCATGAGCCCCAGGCAGCGGGCCAGTCCGCAGAAGCGCTGTCGGAGCCGGAGGAGGGCGTGCGCGTCCCCGTCCTCCGAGGGCGTGAGCAGCACCTCCACCCCGGGGCCCTCATACTGCACAGGGGCTGCACGGAAACACAAGGACGTCGCACTCCCAGGCCCTTGGTCCGCCCCCTTCCTCCTCCCTTGTGGAAGGGGACACAGGCTGCTGGGACATCCGCTGCCCGGCCGCCGGGGCCCCCCGCCCCCCCCCATGCCGCCCGCCCCTACCGGTCTCTGCGCCCTCGCACAGGGCCCCCAGCAGGCTGTGCAGGGAGGCCAGCACCCTTCCCACCGCACCGCCCGCCCCTACCTCCCACGCTGCCCACCCCTACCTGTCTCTGCGCCCTCATACAAGGCCCCCAGCAGGCTGTGCAGGGAGGCCAGCAGGCTACGCAGCTCCTGCTGCCAGCTCTCCGTGTGCTTCAGGCCCTGGGAGAAGCCAGCCCCCAGCGACGGCAGCCGGGAGTAACACTCACAGGCCAGCTGCGGGAGGAAGGTCAAGAGCAGTCAGACGGGACTCCGGCCCAGCCCCAGAGCACCCCAACCCCCACACGCCAAGAAAGAGCTCAGAAGGGAACAGAAAGGACATCGAGGCAGCAAACCACAGACGGGAGCTGGAGGCAGAAGTCACGCCATGTGGATCGTGTGCAGGGAACGGGAGGGAAGAGGGAATGCAGTCCAACCGCGGGAACAGAGAGAAAAGCCGAAAGCCAACAGAAGCTCCAGCTCAGATCCCCAGGCTCACCACCTCCCTCTCTTCCCTTTACCTGCTGGAGCTGAGGGCTCAGGGCATCCACCCGGGACAGGAAAAACGAGGCCAGCTTGCCCTGGGTCAGAGGAAACAGGAAGAGGCTGGTAATTCGGTTCCGAGGGCCAGAGACGCACACCCCCGTCCACTGCCGGAGCAGAACGCAAGCCCAGGCTTCCTCCCTCCTGCAGACACGGGAGGCACGGCGCCGGACATCAGCCCCCGTCAGCAGCCCACTGCCCCGTTCGGCCCCAAAGACACAGCGGGGGGGGGGGGGGGGGCCGGTGTCTGCAAAGTGACAGCCCCCTCTGTGCAGCTGCAACGAGACAAAGGTCCGAGCCAGGAAGCAAGGCCCCAGGCAGGGGTTCGAGGGCAGGGCCAGGTCAGCACAGGTCAGAGCAGCCTGTCCACGGGCGAACACCCGCCCAGCCGGCCACGGGAGAGCCACAGCTACCTGGGGCTAGAGTCAGAGGGGCCTGCGAACGGGGCCGGGAAGAAAGATTTTTACCGCCTCACCACCCTCAAAGTTAACTACAAACGGGGACAGAGAACCCCGGCAGCACCGGCAGCATCGCTGCCTGCCTCCAGGAGAAACCGCGCATTTTCACTCGTCATGATCAGCAGGCGTCTTGAAACATCAGTCATGGGCGTCACCGACTTGAAAGGTCTACGATCTCGTCATCTGGCATGTTAACAACGAAACCCACGCTGCTCTATCGGTCGTTTAAAATACACGTTTCTATCAGAATCCGCTTCCCTTGCGATTCCGTGAGCTTTGGGAACTTAAAAGCATCTCCGGGAAGGAGTCCGTGGCCCGAACAAGGGCAAGAAGGGCCGAAGCGGACACAGAGAAGGAGTGAGACAGGACCCCAGCTCCAGGGGGGAGTGAGAAGGCGTCAGGAGGCCCCGAGAAGCGAGCAAGGGGCGCAAGAGCGGCCAGCGCCGGCAGACAGGCCCGGCAGGGCTGAGAAGAAGGGCATCCACACAGTCGGATCCGAGGGGAGACCACCGCCAGGAGCACACAGAGGCCGTGGACCCCAGGCTGGGGAGGACGGACCCCGTGGGGACGGGGGTGCCTCGTGCACAAGAGTGAACTTTCGGAGGGGCCGTCGGCTGAGGCATCAAGCACATGGAGCGACTTCTGGGACGGAGGCCAAGCTTCCCAGCCTCCCCCCACCTGCCCCGGGGAGGGAACCGCGTGAGGTTTCCCACATCACACTTCGGGACTCAGTGACCACCGGGCAAGCGCTGTTCTCGCTGATCCCGGGGCAGAAGGCCTAGAACCGCTCCCCGTGGGACCTGGAGGGCACTCTCCCCACCACGCGGGAGGGTCCGGAACACTGCAAACCAAGAACAGCAACCGCCCCTACGTCTCCTGATTCCCCTGCTTCCCCAAGGACGACGTTTCCTAGAGAGCAGCCGGAGGCCCGACTAGAGCGGCCCTGCGCTCTCAGCCCACTCCTGCTCACGGTCCCCCCCCCACCCCCAGACTGCGGCGCAGAGCGGGCTGAGGCCCACGGAAGGCTGTGTGTCCATGAGCACAATAAAGCTCGGCTCGCGGACACGGCCCTGGCGACCCACGAGACGCACCCAAGCAAGGGCTCACGCGGGACATCCCACCTGAAGAGCGAGCACCCGCGCGCACACAGCCCCACGGCATGTCCCACGTGTCCCACCCCACAGAACCACTCGTCACCTTGGCGAGGAGAGCGAGCGCCCCTGCGGGACTGACTGAACAGCCTCGGAACACCGAAGGGGCAGCATCCTGGACCGGGAGACCACCGCTACCCTGGGAGCTTCCAGGGACGAGCCAGAGGACAGACAGATACTCCAACGGCACGTATCCGCTTCCTCAGTCCCGGCTGCAAGGTCCTCCAAGTACAAACCGCCCGGGAGCCTTGCAGATTCCTGCCCGACATGCTGGCAGCCGACAAAACCAAAACCCTCGGTAGAGGGCCGTTCTCCAGATGACACTCTATTCTTAGCAAAATAAAGGCACATACACGCTCTAACAACATATGAAGTCCTGTTAGCTCTGGAAAGGGCCCTCAAATTTCTGGCCCAAACTTCAGAAACTTACGGATGGATGAATTCTCCACACTCAAAGGGACGATGAAGAGGCACCAGCGCAGGAAACACTGGGCATCCCAGAGTCCCCGACTATTCGAATCCTGACCGGGCAGTGACAGTTTCTCCCTGCGTCTCACAGGCGGGGGGCCGGGGGGGTGCAGGCAGACACAAATACACCCACTCGGAGCTGAACCAACGGAGCCCTGCAGTAACACCTCCCTCTTCTGACCAGAGCAGGCTCGGGCACAAAGACCCAGCCTGCATCATCTGAGCAGTTCATTTACAGAGCATTTTAGAAGGAAGGCAGAGTTTACGGAACTCAGTAAAACTTTTGTTAAAAAAAACAAAACAGGGGCGCCTGGGTGGCTCAGTTGGTTAAGCGGCTGCCTTTGGCTCAGGTCATGATCCCAGGGTCCTGGGATCGAGCCCCGCATCGGGCTCCCTGCTCAGCAAGGAGTCTGCTTCTCCCTCTCCCTGCCACTCTGCCTACTTGTGCGCTCTCTCTCTGTCAAATAAATAAATAAAATCTTAAAAAAAAAAAAAAACCCTTGTACGGGTCATGACGGAGAGAGTTTAGCCGGGAATACGCGTCAATACAGGGAAGAAGTCAGTCAGGAAGGCTGTCTGGAGGAAGTGGCCAGAGCTGTAGGCACCAAGTGAAAGAGGCGGGGAGCAAGACAGGCAGGGCGGAAAGGGGAAGCGGTGCCGGCTTCGGCGGCAGACGCGGGCTCCATTCGTGAGCAATCTCAGGCAGGCTGGTTTATCTGTGAGCATGAAGCGCTAGGAGGTGGCGGAGTCAGGTGGCCGTGCGCTCAGCGGACGGGGGCTCAGAATCCTCCACCACGGGCCTGAGCTAAGACAGCAAGCGAGGATTACACAGCTGAAGAGGACTGTGGGGGAGCACTTACTCTGAGAGACCCACAGGCCCGAGGAAAGTAGGTCATGCAGGCCTTCATTCCCTCCAGCGCGGAGAGCTCACACTGTGGGCAAAACAGAAAGTCAGGCCAAGGCGCAGAGCCCAAAGCCCCCAGCCCCCAGGCGCACGCCACCACCCCTCACGCACCGTCCTCGGCCCTCCCTCTCCTCCCTCCCCTCCCCGCTCCCCCCCTGCTCCCTGCACTCTAACCCGCTGGAGGGTGAGCACTGTGCGGGCCGGGGGGGTGGGGGGCGGGGGGCCAGGGGGGATCTCACCTCCGGCCTGAGGCCCAGCAGGGAGGTGAGGAGGCCGGGGAGGTGGTTCATGGAGATGTCCCGGAAGAGCGTGGGCAGCTGGGCCGCGTAGCGGAGCAGGTCCCTCAGGACAGCCACAGCCAGCTCCATTGTGGGGGGCGGGTCCTGGGACTAAAGGAAACGACACCCGTGCTCCTGAGCTCACCTTCGCAGGCGCCAAGAAGCAGCGGCACGGGAGGCAGCACAGCACAGGGCTTCTGAGAAACCCTCCAGTTACGTCACCGTTGCCCACAAATCCACTAGGGACACGGGGAACCCCAACGTGGCGTGTTTGTCTACAGAAAGGATGTGTGTCTGCACTTTAGTATCACGGGTATCTGGGGCCTTGAAATGTGTTCAGAGAGGAAAGAAACAAAGCCAGGCCTTACAGATCTGACTAACAGGAAGATGTCGAGTGTCAGGTTCCCCCGACTGCACTTCCCTGCTGGGAATGGAGGAGAGCACTTCTCACCGTGAGAACAGCCTCAGCCACAACAAAACCACCCCGTGTCGCCAAGTGGGCTTCAGCCTGGCTCACACCTACCCTGGACTCGTGGAGAAAGAAACGGTTTGGATTTAGGACTTCCCTGGAAAAATAACACGTACTACAGGAAACAGAGTCGGCACCTGTCTCCCACTAGACCCGAGGCCACAGGTACAACATGAGTAGGAACACTTAGCGAGAAAGTAAGAACGGGAGGGGGAGGGGCGGACTGGGTGCCGGGCATGGAGGAGGGCACGTGATGTGATCAGCACTGGCTGTTACGTGCAACTGATGAACTGCTGAACGCTACAACTGGAACTCACGATGTACCATATGTTGACTAACTGAATTTAAATTAGAAAAATAAAAAATAAATTTAAAAAAATAAGCACGGAGGGCCCTCCAACACTGCCCAGTACCCCCTCTGCATTTCGGTCCAGTTAACCGGCCCCTCCACTCACACCTTCTCCCACCACTGCCACCTTCACAGAAGCCCAGGGACGGGCAGGAGTCCCGGCCAAGCCTGACACCGCCCCCTTCGTTACCACCGTCCCTCCATCCTATCACCCAGCGCCTGCCCCTGAGAGTCCTCCACAGGCAAGCGCCCCCTCCGTAAACACCCTTCCCGAGCCCCGCCCCCTGTGAGACCCAACATCTGGATTGTCTGGCTTCTCCACTTCCCTTCGTTCTCCCGCCCCCAGTGTCCGAGCTCTGCCCATCTCCTAACCCTTGAGCTGCTAAATCTGAAACAGGAGTCCGTCCTCACCTCGCTCCACCTCCGAGCGGCAGAAACAGATGGGTCGTGCCTCTCCCCTCCATGCACCCACCCCACAGCCCTGCTATCCTGTCTGCAGCGCGTCCTCTCTCAGCTCCTTCTCCCCTACCGGCACATCCGGTCCCCGGAAGAACCCGCGCTGCCACCCCTCCCCTCTGGGCCCGGCCGTCCGGGTGCTCTGAAATCCGGGAGTCATCCTGGACATGCCTGTCCCACCATCGGGACCTGTCCACTTTGCCTCTAACCCTCTCCTGAACTCAATCAACTTCTCATCATTTCTGCAGCCTCCTCTCCAGCCCAAGTTACCAGGACATTTCCCTTCTACGTGGTCTTTCTGCTTCCACTCTGGCTTTCTAGTCCTTTCTCCACACAGCTGCCAAGGTAGTACTTCCAAATGAAAATCTGATCACGTCACCACCATCACCACCACCATCTCCTCCTCACCCCTACTCAAAACGTTCCATGAAGGACGCCTGGGTGGCTCAGTCAGCAAAGCGTCTGCCTCCGGCTCAGGTCGTGATCCCAGGGTCCTGGAATCGAGTCCCGAATTGGGCTCCCTGCTCGGCGGGAAGCCTGCTTCTCCCTCTCCGTCTGCCTGCCCCTCCACCTTCTTGTGCTTTCTCTCTCGCTCGCTAATGAAATAAATAAGATCTTTAAAAAAAAAAAAAAAAGACCCACCTCTCATGAATTCCCAGTGTTCTAGGAATAAATACCAAGCTCCCTAACATGCCCAGGCCACCACGCGTGGCTTGGTCCCTACCTCTCTCCCCCCTACTCCAGTCACGTTTCATCAACCCCACCCAGCCACACCAGCTTGCTTATATTTCTCCACATGGGCCAAACTCCTCTTCTCTCGGGGCTTTTGCACACTTACAAAACGTTCTTAGCCCAACTGGCTCGGAAAAGCCCTCCCTGGACCAGGGGCCCACACTGGTCCAGCCTGGGTCAGAGTCTCTGGTACGTGTTCTCGGGGAGCTGTGCTCTTTACCCCCACGGCACGTGCTGCGGTGCATCACTTCAGCCCGCTGCGCCTTCTGTTTGTAAGTAGGCTCCACGCCCCACCTGGGCTGGAAAATCACCGCCTGAGGTTGAGAGTCGCACACGCTACTGACGGAGCCGGCCAGGCGCCCCAGTGTACGCTTATTCTAGTGAAGTCTCTTCTGCTAGAAAAGGGATCGGCAAACAGTAGGTATAGTCTGTGGGTGCCTATTTTTGTATGGCCCACAAACTAGAAATGAGTTTTACATTTTTAAAGGGCTAGAAAAGAAAAAAAGAAACAAAATGCAACTGAAACCAATTGTAGTTTGCAAAGCCTAAAACATTTCCTATCTGTATCCCGGAGCAGAACACAGAGAACCCTCAAGCCCGAAACTAATGTAACATTCTGTCATCAGCTGCATTTTAACAAAAAAAACCTTCCTAAAGAAAAGTATGGCCAAAGATAGGAAGGAAAACTACCTTCAGATTATTCTACTGAGGGGGAAATAAAAGGAGTCTCATGGTCAGCAGCATGATTTAGAGAATTTCTGAATAGAAAGAATTCTGAGTACACTGAGATGTTTAGCACCTACTTTGTATAACTATCCGAGAAAGTTTTCAGGAGTTTAAAAATTCAGAGGCTGATTAAAACTGAATGAGATCTGAACACTGTCACATACAACTATGTAAATAAAGGACAATAAATTGCAAGAACAATATGGCGGATTAAAATGCTCTGATTGCAGGTGAAAATTAAAACAGAAGAACTACAACAGAGTAACTATGGAACAAAAACATCTTTCACTCCAATACGTGGATTTATGGATTTCTATGATGGGCTACCACATAAGTACTACTTATTTTTTTTCAAAGACTTTATCTATTTGACAGAGAGAGACACAGCGAGAGAGGGAACACAAGCAGGGGGGAGTGGGAGAGGGAGAAGCAGGCTTCCTTGCAGAGCAGGGAGCCCGATGCGGGGCCCGATCCCCGAACCTGGGATCATGACCTGAGCCGAAGGCAGACGCTTAGCTGAGCCACCCAGGCGTCCCATAAGTACGATTTATTGATCTGCTCCAAATACATCCTCTAAAATGTGAACACCAGCTAACTGGAATGAACCATTAGGAGATGGTTTACGGGGTGTATTTTCTGAATAAAATCGTTCTTTAATTTACCATCTGCAAACATTTACTTCACGGGAAGTTCTCCAACCCCCCGTGCTGGACTCCGAGCCCATGCCAGTGGGGTCCGGGGTCACCTGACCACTGCCCCCCAGAGCTTAGCACTCAGCCCCCTGTGCTCAGAATGTGCTTGCTGAAGAGCTATGTGGGGAAATCATCAAAGCATGTAAGAGCAGAAAAAACTGAAAATGTTAAGAGAAAGAAGGGAGCAGGAAAAATATAAATAAGTAAACAAAAATAAAATACCTGGAAAAAGGAACTTTCGAGATGTCACATGTTAGAAAAGCTAGCGAGGAAGTGAAATCAGTCAGTGGTTGCAGTGTGTGAAAGGTCAAATGAATTAAAATTACCCCCTGGATAAAAATATCAAAAAGTTTACAGCCGTGTTTGTATCTGAAGCTCATGCTCTGCTCCCTGCTGTCAGGACGCTGCCTTGGTCCTCAGGACTCAGTGTGTGGGCCGGGGACATGTGCAGGCCGGGGATGTCCGGGCCGGGGACATCTGGCCGGGGCCTGAGGCATGGCGGCGGGGGTGGGGGTAAGAACCTTTACCTGCAGGACCTGCTGAATGCTCCGGAGCCAGGACACGCAGTGCTGCTGGAACATCTCCGTGGGGCTCTCCCCCACCAGCAGGGACAGCAGACACAGGCCCTCAAACCTGACAAGGAAGTAGCCAGTGACAATCCGCAGCGGCTGCCACACTCCTGAGAACGCTGGTCACCGCGCTGGGACACTCACGAGACCAGAGCAGACGCCACCTCCAGACCCTCAGTGCTTTCTAACTCCCGAAATGCCTGGAGGGCTCGGGGTGAGGTGTGGGCAGCAAGGAAGCAAGGACCAGAGCTGATCCCAGGTGGGACAAGCCAGGGGCCAGAACAGGCAGGCACCCCAGGGGGGCCCAGGGAAAGAAGGAAACGCTCCACCCTCTCAACGGAGAAGTCTCTGAGTCCACAGGGTGGTGACAATGGAGGGACAGACAGATGGACAGCCCGCTTCTTAAGGAAACACCCCCTGGAGAAAAAAGAGGCTTAAAGACTCACCGGGTTTTGATGGAACCGAGCCGTGCATTACTGAGACCCACCAACGCCCCAACAGCTGACAGGTTCTGGGGGAGCAAACGGGGAAGCGAGTCAGGATTAGGAAGCTGCTGACGACGGGGGAGCGCTTCTCTGGGCCCTTCCGTGCCCTCACCTACGAAGCCTCTCCTGACGTCATACCCCCTCTGAGGCCCGAGGCCCCATTTTCAGCAGCTGACACACAGAAGCCTGTGCCTCAGGCCTTCCTCCAGGCCCGTCCTGCCTGACCCCTTCTCCCACCTCCCACCCAGCAGGTTAGTGCCCCGCAGAGGACAGCCCAACTCATCCCAGCGACGCGCCTCCCTCAGCTCAGTGTCCCTGGACAGCAGCCAGCGCAGAGCAGACCCCACACACACTTGCTGGGTGGACCTCATCTGCTACCCTCTTCCTTCACCCCCCAAACCTCCCTCGTCCCGTCCCCAGCTCCCTGAAAGCCGTTAGCCAACGCCAGCACAGACCCAGTCAGCCAGAGCCTCCTTCCCTCACATTCCGGGGGCCCTGAGACAGGTTTCCTCCTCAGCCCTCCCCCCGAAAGGCCACGCTCCTCTCGTGGACCCTGGGCCTCCCTAACCGTGCTCATCCCTCATGCTCCCGACAAACACCCTATGCACGGGGTCAGACGAAGGAATCCAGAGCTGGACAAAATAAACAAGGTCGCTCATGTCATGAAGGGTCATGTTTATTCACTTATTCAGTCAGTGTTTATCCAACGTCGACTTCATGGGGGACACTGCTGTAGGTGCTGGGGAGCTTGTATTCTAGGTAGAGGAGGCAGAAAATAAACAAACGACCAAACACGAAACACTGTGTTGGATGCACTAAGTGCTGTGGGGCAGAATAAAGCAGACTCGGGAAGGAGCGGAAGGAGCGAGTGCCTGGCGTAGGGGAGGGAAATCGTGTTTCACGTGGAGCAGGCACAGAAACCCTCTCTAAAGACGCCATTTGAGCAAAGTGAAAGCAAGACGCACTCCCGTCCACACACCCTGCTGATGGGATCGTAAGATGGTGTGGCCACTTTGGAACATTCTGGCAGCTACTCCGAAGGTCATACAGCACATGACCCAGCACTTCCACGCCCGGGGACATGCCCAAGAGAACGGAGAGTTCTCACGAGAACTCGCACAAGAAGCTCACAGCATCATCCCCAACAGCCAAAAAGTAGAAACAATCCAAGGGCCCACCAAGTGGCGAATTAACGACAGAATGTGGCGCATCCACAACAGAAGAGTATGTGGCCATTAAAAAAAACAACAAAAAAAATAAGTTCTGAGACACAGATAAACATTAAAAACATGACGCTACGTGAAAGACACCAGACCCAAAAGCCACATGTTGTAGAATTTATTTATATGAAACGGTCGAGGTAGCCACATCCAGAGACAAAAAGTAGAGAGTGGCTGCAGGGAAACGGGCAGTGACCCCCACGGGGCACAGGGCTTCCTTCTGGACGGATGACATGTTCTAAACCCGATCAGGGTGGGTGCATGCCCGGCCGGCACAGGCGGGGAGCACTCGACCCTTGATCTCGGGGCTGTGAGTTCAAGCCCCACGTGGGGTCTAGAGATTACTTAAAAAATAAAATCTGTAAAAGTAATAATAATAAAAATGAATAAATGAAATTGATCACGGTGATGGTTGCACTACTCCGCAAGTAAGCTACAGAAGAGCAAGGAGGCGAACTGCAGCAAGGGAAGAGCGAGCAAGAGGCGGATGTCATCAGAGTGGAAAGTCCCGGGGGCAGGGCAGAGGTCTCAGGGTCGTGCAGGCAATGGGGGATCTGTACTCTGAATAAGATAAAGGCCACGGGGGGGGGGGGCGCGCACAATATTATCTAACCTAAATGTATTTTTTTAATATTTTTTATTTTTTAATTTATTTTTTAGTAAGATTTTATTTATTTGACAGAGAGAGACACAGCAAGAGAGGGAACACAGGCAGGGGGAGTGGGAGAGGGAGAAGCAGGCTCCCCGCCGAGCAGGGAGCCCGATGCGGGGCTCGATCCCAGGACCCTGGGATCATGACCTGAGCCGAAGGCAGACGCTTAACCATCTCAGCCACCCAGGCGCCCCCTAAATGTATTTTTTAAAAATAATCCACAACACTTGAGTCGCTTGCTGGGAGGCAGATGCAGACGGGAGGCGGCTGTGGTGAAGATCCAGGGGAAAAGTGACACCTCTTAACCAGCGCAGTGATGCTGGGGACACGGAGAGTCAAACTCTGGATCTCTTCTGAAGGTAGAACCAACAGGATGGGGTAACAAACCGGACACGGGGGAATCCAGAGAAGAGGCAAAAAGGATTTCAAGATTTTTAGCTTGAGCAACCGGGCAGATGGAGCGGTGGGTTCCTAAAAGGGGGACTCTGCAGGAGGCACAGGCTGTGGGGGAGAATCGGAAGTCCGGGCTCAGATACCAGGAATCTGGGACACCCACCTGACATCAGCTTGGATGTGCCAAACAGGCGCACGGCGGGCAGGGCTGGATGAGGAGCGATCTTGGCTGGAGCGTGAATATGGAACTCTGTCGGCCGCGGACGGGGTCAGCTCACCCAGGGAGAGCGTGAAAGAGAGGAAAGCGGTAGGAGCACAGGGTTCTTGGACAAACACTCAGAGGCCGGAGGGAAGGACGGATGAGAACGGTGACCGGAGAATCAGGACAGTGGCGTCCCAGAAGCTGAGAGAAGTTTCAAGAAAGAAGGAGGGGCCAACTGTAGGAAATGCTGCAGACCCTGGTGGTCGCGGGCGGTGTTCGAGAACTGCCACGTGACCAGGTAAAGGGGTGATTCAGCAAAAGGTTAGGCTGGGAGCCTCAACGGCAGGAGTTCTAGGGGACGGCCACTGTGGGAATGATTCGTTCCATCTTTTACGGATAAAACACGAGAGCGGAAGGTTGACAAGACACAAGACATTGCTATACTCTCCCCACAGGACACTTCTTTCAGAAAGAAAAACCATGACTTCACAGTGAAGAAACCTGGCAAATGCCACCTTAGCCCAGTGATCGAAGACGACACCACCAGGAACTGGACAGAGAACACCGTGTGTGCCACACACACTCCCCCTTCCGCACTATGATGCACCAAAAACAACACCCGGCTGCAGTTTCCTGCCAAAAATACAACCTGCGTCAACCCCCAGGAAACTGCCCTGAGCCCACACTCAGGGACAGCCTAAAAAATAATTTCCTCTAACTCTTCAGAAATGTCATGCTCTGGGGCGCCTGGGTGGCTCAGCTGGTTGGACTGCCTTCGGCTCGGGTCATGATCCCGGGGTCCTGGAATCGAGCCCCGCGTCGGGCTCCTGCTCAGCGGGGAGTCTGCTTCTCCCTCTCCCACTCCCTCTGTTCTTTCTCTCTCTCAAATAAATAAACAAAATGCTGACATTTGGAGCACCCCGGGTGGCTCAGTTGGTTAAGTGATTGACTCTGGGTTTCAGCTCAGGTCATGATCTCAGGGCCATGATGTCATCAGGCTCTGCACTCCCTCTGCACTTCCCTCACCCTCTAAAATACATAAATAAATCTTTAAAAAATAAATAAAATAAGATGTTGACATTTGGGGCATCTGGGTGAAGGGTATACGGGAATTCTTTCAATTATTCTTTCAAATTTTCCTCAAACTTTGTCATTTCAAAGCAATGTTATTGAAAGGAAAAAAAGAAGAAGAATGGGAGAATCGGAGACAGCAAGTACAAATAATTCTTTTGAGGAGTCTTGCCATGAAGAGAAATGGGGCAGGAGACAGCGGGGTTGGGGCTGTGGGGAGAGGGGTGTTTAAAGCAGCTCTGAGCGGTACGCTGAGGAAATCAGAGGGAAGATCTGATGAAGTGGGGGGACAGGGGCTAGATCTCACGCACAAACAGAGGGCTGGCCCGAGACAGGGGCATGGAGCAGCTCACCCCTCGCCGTGGGAGGGAAGGCAGAGCATATGGACACAGATGCAGTGAGGCCGGCAGATAACCCATGGGACTGCCCATCCGACTGCCTCTACCTTCTCGGTGAAACGGGAAGCAAGTCATCAACTAAGAGGGAGGGTGCAGAGAAGGAGTGAGAAGTTGTCTAGGAAAGCAGAAATGTGGCAGGATTGCTGGGCAACACCAGGGTCCACTGGAGGTGATGATGGCCGCGCATGCTAAGTGAGACCAGTCCGCAAGGACATCGGTTCTTCTGCCGCCACAGTAAATTCACCACAGCCGTGGTACTGCCAGGCAAGTACAACCAAGGGAGAGGGACAGACCAGGGATTATAATGGAATTTAAACTGGGTAAGAAGGGGAGAGAGAACATGACAGATAATAAACAGGTTAATTTTCAAATGCTGATAAATGCTAGCAAGAAAACAGAATAGGACAGTGTGGCAGAAAATGCCCAGGACGGGACAGACTGGAATGGTCAGGAAAGACTCCTGTGAACAGGAGCACAGAGGCGGAGACTTAAGTTTGAGTTCACCCTCCCATGGGTTTCCCAAGTTTCCCAGCAAAGAGCCAAGGAGCTGGTGAGCAATGGCCTCAGCATACTCTAGAAACGAGGTTAGCCTGGGCGGCTGGAGTACGGTCCAGAAGTTGTACGAGATGAGGTCAGGAGGTTAGCAGAGGACACACGAGGCAGGGCCTCATGCAATGATAAATTACTGTGTGGTTCTGAGCAAGAGAATGCTGTCATCTTATTGATATGAATAAATGTTTTTTAAAGTAGGCTCCGTGCCCAACATGGGGCTTTGAACTAACAACCCGGAGATCAAGAGTTGTGTGCTCTATGGACTGAGCCAGTCAGCGCCCTTTTACTGATATTTTTAAACAGATCACTGGCTACTGACTGGGGAATGGAACAGGACAAAGCCCTGGGGATAAAGGCAGAATAAGACATTCCATCCTTCCAAGAACATGTAGTATAGAGAAAATGAGATGTGAGATTTACTTTAAAATGCTGGGGGAGAGGGGTAGAGTTGGGAGAATGGGCATGAAACCATGTTGGTAAGATGTTCATTGTTAAATCTGGGTGACGGGGAAAGCATAGGGTGGGATGGTTTAAAATACTAATTTTTTAAAAAGATTTTATTTATTTATTTGACAGACAGAGAGAGAGCACAAGCAGGGGGAGCGGCAGGCAGAGGGAGAAGCAAACTTCCTGTGGAGCAGGGAGCCCGATGGGGGACTCGATCCCAGGACCCCGGGATCATGACCTGGGCCGAAGGCAGACACTTCACTGACTGAGTCACCCAGGCGTCCCTCAAAATACTATTTTCTCTACTTTTGTGTAATCTGAATTAAGTTCCATCTTTTTTAATTACACATAAAAATAAAGCAAATCAAAGCCTAGCTGTTTGGTGTGAAGGAAGAAGGTTGTATATACACATGAAACGAATAAACACATCATTTCAATACATTGTAGGAAAGACAGCTAAGGTTTCCCAAAGGCAGTGAAAAGCACAGAACTGAAAAGATTTTTCTGGGGAGCAGGGAAGCAGCACAGGGAGGGACCCCAGGCAGACAACAGTTAAGTGCAAACGCCCGAAGCCAGGAAAGCCCAGCTAGTGAAGGATTTTAAAACATGGCAAACGGGATCAGAATTTTACTTGAGGAAGCTCACTCCAGCTGCTGTGCGAGAAATGGATGAAATGCCACAAGACTGATGCAAGGAGACAAGTCAAGAGACTTGCTATAAGCCACACCAGAAACTGTGAACGGATCCCGTCTCACTGTGCAACTACTGAGTTCACAGTACCTATAGGAAAGCAAGCTGTGATGCAGCCTAAACAGATGGCCCAATCAATGGATCTCTGCCTTTCCAATAAGCTCTGAGCCTATTGAGTTACTTTATTTCTCATCTCAATGAGACTAGAAATTCTCCAAGGGAAAAGACTATGCCTATGTGTCTACCCAGAAACAAGAAGCAATAGTTAACGCTTAACAGGTACTCAGTAGTGTTTGAATGAAAACGTATGGGGAAGCAAAGCGAACCCTCCAGGCGGCAGCACCGCAAACCCTGTGAACCGAGGATCCAATCCGAGAGACATTAGCAAGAAAAAAGGCAGGATATGCCCAAAATTGTGGCACAGGCAATATTAAAGGGGAGTCTAGGTTCCCACATCACCTTCAGCTTTGCTCAATATTCTTTTTTTTTTTAAAGATTTTATTTATTTATTCATGAGAGAGAGAGAGAGAGGCAGAGGGAGAAGCAGGCTCCCAAGGAGCAGGGAGCCCGATGCGGGACTCGATCCCAGGACCCTGGGATCATGACCTGAGCCGAAGGCAGACGCTTAACCATCTGAGCCACCCAGGTGCCCAGCTTTGCTCAATATTCTACTAGGCTTTAGACACTTGCGGGAAACAAGCAAGATGTTGAATTCATGAGCTTGCCTTGAGGGGGGCGGGGAAAGCTTGGGACAAGAAGCCACACGCGTACAAGCAGAAGAGACAGTATTTCAGAAATACTTAAACCCACATGAATTAGAAGACGGAAATTGAGAAAATGTGTACTCAGTTCCCACTTCCCAAAGTGGGCTGAGACAGCAGAGGAATGGACCTGGCACCCTCAACAGTGAGGTGTAATGTCAGTAGCAGCGATAAGACCGTCCCTGACGAGTCTGGGGCTAAGCTCAGAGAACCACCCAAGGCTGTGACAACCCTCTCTCTGGAAGGAAGCATAGCGCTGGGAAGGTCCCCGTAACAAAGACTTGACAAAGAAGACCTTATGTATATGGATCTTGAGGGGTGGGTAAAATTGGGGGGGGGGGCCTAGGAGAGGACGGAGGGCAGGGGCTATTAAAGGAGCACTTACCCTCAGACATCATGTCGGACACACTATGCCTTCTTACAATCAGTGCTCTCACCTGGGCGAGAGGACACGGTTCAAGCTAGGACCAGGGCAATGGGAAGGATATGGAAAGGAGTGGACAGCTCTAAAAGCTACTTAGATAATAAAACGAGGGGCGCCTGGGTGGCTCAGTCGTTAAGCGTCTGCCTTCGGCTCAGGTCGTGATCCCAGGGTCCTGGGATCGAGCCCCGCATTGGGCTCCCTGCTCCGTGGGAGGCCTGCTTCTCCCTCTCCCACTCCCCCTGCTCGTGTTCCCTCTCTCGCTGTGTCTCTCTCTGTCAAATAAATCAGTAAGATCTTAAGGAAAAAAAAAAAGATAATAAAATCAACAGGACTGCATATGAGAGAGATATGGGAGTAAGAACGTGTTTAGGATGACATCTGGGTTTCTGGTTTGCGGAACTGAAGGGATGTTAGTACATAATCCTAAGGACCCCTTCCAAGCCAGTCTACAAAGCTCTGCCTGATCTCTGCGTTGCCCCCCCCCCGTGCCCACTCTCTTCCCCACCACCTCTGAGCCCCACACACGATGCCCTTCTTTTCACTTCCTTCCTCCCACAGGACTTTCCCATTCTCTTTCCCTAGCCAACCCTCTACCCATCCGGGGAGGTGGGGGTCTCAGCCTAAACCCCAGTGCCCCAGGAAATCTCTGCAATCCTCCAGGTCAGGTTAGAGGTCTACTACACGATTCTCAGTGTTTCAAGACACTGTGTTCACCGCCATTGCATCTGAGCGGAGCGCCCGGGGCTCAGCCTCAGTAAGAGCGCGGTCAGTTGTCTCCATCCATTCCCTCAGTCCAAAGCGTCCCAAAACCAGACACGCGAGGGGGACGGGGAGACGGTGCATCCATTGGGTGGCGCGGCCTGGAGTCGGACGCACGCTCCCGAGCGACCACCAACAGCCCAACGGTGGGGCAGTGAGGCCCTTCCTGTCTCCCCGGAGTTTCCGCCGCCGGCGTGAACGTTGCCCAGACTAACACGGGCTCCGGCAGAGGCGCTCCCAGGCCTCCCCGCCCCCCGCGCCCCCGCAGCGGCGCCAGCTCCCCAGCAGGGCCGCGGGCGCGCGGGCCGCACTCACCTGGGCCCCGCCCACCGTCCCATGCAGCCGCAGGAGGCACATGAGCCCGGGCAAGTGCGGGGCCGAGCGCACCGGGGGATGCACAGGCGCCACGGCGCTCCCCGCGCGCGGCTGCAGCAACCCGGACACGCTCTCTAGCAGCAGCAGGCGGAGACGCGGGCCCGAGCCCACCGCCGACAGACCCCCGGTCCCGCCGGGCACCCCGGCCGCGGAGCCCGCGGAGGGCCCGCTCAGAACGGCTGCCGCCATCTTCGCCCGGGCTCCGGTGGTGGCGTGGCGCGATGACGCAAACGCACCGCGACGGGCGCCTGGTGGGGAGGGGGCGTGAGGAGGGGGCCGCGGCCCTGCGCACTGCGCGGCCGGGGGTGGGGCTCTGCGCGCCGCGCGCGAGGGAGCATGCGCGGGCGGGGCGGGCGGGCCACGTGGGCCGGACAAAAGGCGCGGGCGGCCGCGGGGCTGGGGTGAGGCGGGCCGCCCGGGGCTCGGGGCCCACGGCGGTCCGTGCGGCCGCTGTCGGAGGACGTGTGTGCAGTGACGGCTACGGACAGGCCGCCGTCCGCGCGCCCTGCGGAAACAAGTTCCAAGAGCACCCGGCCTCTCCCCGAACCCCCCGCCCAGGGCAGTGCCCGCTTTCTGACACCGCTCCGTGCACGGACACGCAAACGCGAAGTCCGTCTTGCAGGAGCGGCGGCTGCCCTCGGCCTGTCCCACGATGTGTCCCTCGTGGCCGCTTTACGCTGCTTTTCCAAGCTGCAGGCTACAGTGAAATGAGGGCGCCATGATTTAATTCTCTTGCTGCATACTTGCAGCCGCTCCGCTTTCTCCCTCAGACACTGAACACTCGAATACTTCTCTCTTAGCGTGCTTTTCGTGCACGAGGATAATCTAATACTTTGAAAGAAAGTCAAGGCTAAGGGTCACCTTTATTCCTCTCTTCCTGCCCCTCTGTCTAATCCGTCTTCAAGTCCAATTCATTAACCCCGTTCGGCTGGTTTTTTTTCTCTTGTTTCTCCATCTCCGGGGACCCTCTGGTCCCCCCCACCATTCTCATGTGGCCTCTTACAAAGGCCTCTTCATGGCTTCCCTCTTGGCCCTGCGTGGTCCCTTCTCCGCAAAGCAACCAGAAGTGGTCTTTTTCAAGTGTTAAGTCAGATCTTGGCACCCTCTGCTTAAAGCCCTTCAGTGCCTTCCAAATAGGTGGACGGCTCCTAGAATCCATGTGATCTGACGCATACCCACCTCTCCGACCACCACACATACCACAGGTACCCTCAGTCTCCCTGTCTTTTCCTATCCTTGAGCCAAACTGGCCTTTCTACCCTCCGGCAAGCCCCCGCCCACCACATGCTGCTGCTTCTGCGTGGAGAAATTTTTCTTTCAATCTCTGATACCGCCTTGCCATCCTCAAAAAGGGCTTCTTTTTTAAGTAGCCCCCACTCCAAACCCCTTCATCCTTTACCATATCACCCCGCTAATTTTTTTTAAATAACTCATAACATTATCTCAAGTGTATTTCTTTCTTTCTTTTTTTTAAGATTTTATTCATTTGAGGGGCGCCTAGGTGGCTCAGTCGTGAAGCGTCTGCCTTCGGCTCAGGTCATGGTCCTGGGGTCCTGGGATCGAGCCCCGCGTCCGGCTCTCTGCTCCACGGGAAGCCTGCTTCTCCCTCTCTCTCTCCCTCTGCCCCTCCCCCTGCTCATGCTCCCTCTCTCTGTATCTCTGTGTCTCAGATGAATGAATAAAATCTTTAAAAAATAAAAATAGAAATAAAATACATGAGAGGGGTCTTCTGTACCTCACTATGTTAGTCTTATCACCTAGAATAGTGCCTGGCACATAAAAAGGGCTCAACAAATAATTGTTGAGTGAATAAGTGAGAGTTGGATGAAAGAAAAAGCCTACTTTTAATTTTGACAGGAACTGGCAAAATGCCTTCTAGAAAGGTTGCCTTGACTTAACACCCCTGCCCATCATATGAAATAGTGCTTTAGGCAAAATCCCAATACTAGGTTTATTAGTGGGTCGGAACTCTTCGTAGATGTGGGAGTTATTCTTCATTGTTATGTGTTGCAGGGTTGCAAGAGGCTTCTTCCAATTTGTCATTTCATTTATTTTAATCTCTTAGTCTTCTTGAGGTAAGGTGTTTTGATAAAGGCCACGGACTCTGAACTAGACTGCTGGGTTTGGACACCAGCTTTGCCTCTTATGAGCCTGCAAGTTACTTAACTGTGCCTTCACTTCCTCATTTGTAAAGTGGGGATAATTATAAAACCTTAATGCATAGAGCTGTATTAAATGAATTTACATTTGTAAAGTGCTTGGAACAATGTCTGGCACGTGGTAAATACTATAAAGTGTTAGGTGGTATTATTTATAGCCCTGGGGTTTGATATCTTATGAGGCTTTTCCTAACCTCCAAGGTTATAAAAATATTTTCCTGTTTTTCTCCTATACTTTTATAGTTTTAATTCCATGCATTTAGATCTTTAACCCATCCGGAATTTATTTTAAGGTGTGAGATGAAGAGCTATCGCTTTTTTTCTCCCAAATGAATAGCCAACTGTCTCAACCCAGTTTAGTGACTGTGCCATTCTTTCTCCAGTGACTTGAAATGCTACCATGTGAGTCTGTATCTGGATCCCATATTCTCTTTCATTGCTGTGTTTCGTATTATTGCACCAATAACGCAATTTTAATTATTATAAGTTAATAAATTATCAGGTAAGACACATGCCTGCTTTACTGTTATTTTTCAGAATTTTTTTTAAAGATTTTATTTATTTATTTGATAAATAAGAGAGAGAGAGAATGAGAGACAGAGAGCATGAGAGGGAAGAGGGTCAGAGGGAGAAGCAGAGTCTCCGCCGAGCGGGGAGCCCGATGTGGGACTCGATCCCGGGACTCCAGGATCATGACCTGAGCCGAAAGCAGTCGCTTAACCAACTGAGCCACCCTGGCGCCCTCTTATTTTTCAGAATTATCCTGGCTAAACTTGTGAGTTGGTTCTTCCGATTGTTTGGAATCAAGTTCCCCCCAGAAAAGTCCACTGTCATCCATTTACTTCTAAAGACTAGTCAAGTGCAGTAGTGAGGAGGGGGTAAGGGAAGAGTGGAACAAGGAGTTCGATCTGTAACTGGGAACCATCATTTGAGATAACTCACTACCTTTGGATCAGCCTCCCATTGCTATTTTGATATGGTGTTAAATTTATACACCATTTGCAGAGAAATGACGGCTTTATAATGATGGGTTTTCCCACCCGTAAATGGTGCATCTCTTTCATTCTTTCTAGCCTTCTTTAGCATCCTTCTAAATTTTTCTTTATATCAGTACTTTTTAATAGAGTAGATTTCATGCCATACAGACCACTACCTTTCAGTCCCAAAATCATTTTTAAAAGATTTTATTTATTTATTTGACAGAAAGCGAGAGAACACAAGAAGGGGGAGCAGCAGGAGAGGGAGAAGCTGAGCAGGGAGCCCGATGTGGGGCTCGATCCCAGGACCCTGGGACCACCACCTGAGCCAAAGGCAGATGCTCAACCGACTGAGCCACCCAGGCGTCCCAAAATCACTTTAGATGTGTAGCAATATGGATCTCATTACCTTCTGGTCATGACTCTTCGACTAAAGTGATTCATGAGTCTAGGGCGCCTGGGTGGCTCAGTTGGTTAAGCAACTGCCTTCGGCTCAGGTCATGGTCCCAGGGTCCTGGGGTCGAGCCCCGCGTCGGGCTCCCTGCTCCGCGGGAAGCCTGCTTCTCCCTCTCCCACTCCCCCTCCAGCAACCCTCAGTTTGTTCCCTATAGCTAAGAGTCTCCTATGGTTTGTCTCCCTCCCTGACTTCGTCTTATTTCCTGTGTTTGGACCTTAAAGATGATCTCAGAAACTATCTTGTTGTGCATATTACTTCCTGTTGTGTGGAAGAGCGGAGGGAGAAGTGTGAAGTTAGTTCACTTGGGTGGGAAAGACGGGGGGAGATTGGGAAAAGACATGGAAGAAGGAGAAATACATTAGCTCCTTAAATCCTGAAATGTCAGGCACCCATCGTCCTGCCCCCGGTCCAGTCCATTTTGCCCTAGAATAGCTCTTCTGCCTGGCCCCTCTTCTCCTCTTGACTAGTTTTAGTCCAGACAACCTTGGCCCACTCTCTCCACCCTCCACATTGCCCAGAATTATCCTCCTGAAGGAGAAATCTCATCGTGCCAGTCTTTCGCTTAAAAAAGCCAGTCTTGGATCCGAGCGTCCTCCTCCTCCAGGGAAGCCCTCGGTCCTGTTCTTTCACCCGCTATACAGAATCCTTCACGCTCTGTTCCAGGCCTCCTCCTCCACCTCATCTCTCCTGCGGTGGAACCCCACGAACACTTCTTCAGAAGAGGACGTACCTTGCCTTTATTTGTCTTTGCAACACCCTTTCTCAACATCTGCCCACCCTTCAGAAAGATTGTCCTCAGAGGTCTCCTCCTCTGGACAGCGTCCCCTCCCTCCACCCCTGCCCCAGTCAAGCGCCAGTAGTCGCTTTGTCTTCTGGGTCATACCTCCATTATAGTATTCTTGGGATCATAATACCTGTTTCTGTGTCTCCTGAACTGTGCTAGGAAAGCAGGGGCCATGTGAATCCATTGCCCAGCACAGTGACTGGCACGAAATAGGCATGGATGCATGGATGCGTGCGTGGATGGATGCATGGATGCGTGCGTG